AAAGTCTTAGTGAAAATCATTGGTATTCCATAGAAGAGAGAAATAAATATAGTCAAGGGAAGACCACATCTCATACTTCTCTTGTATATTCCAAAGGTCCAGGGAAATTCCAGGTAATAGAGGTTGTTTCCCACACTGTTAAAGCAAGGTTGCAGATGCTTCTGAATTTTGGGCCCAATACATTAGGAGGGCACACCTGTGTCCTGGAAGATGATACAGGAATGAATGCTCTTCCTGTGACTCATTCTGGTCATTTGTCCAGCATCACAGAAACCAAAAAATGGAAATATGGCCAAATTCATGATTTGCTAGTCCTCTTGTTCAGGTTTCATACCTGATTCTTAGGATAACAGCGTTACCTTGAGGATTATGATGAAGATATGCTGTCCAAATATGTGCACAGTTTTGAGCAAAATGCCTGGTACAAATTGATCAACAAATAATTACTGAATAATTGTATGAATATTTACAGAATGACATGGATCCTATGAATAATTATGGAATAATTGTGATTGCTTTTATTAGCAGTTCTCAAAACTCAGCTCTTTGAGATGTCGGGTAAGCCCATAACTTTGTGAACCTGCAGTTTCATCATTTTCATAATGAAGAAACCTGACAGATTTTCTTTCTGTCACAGAATGTCAGGCCTCCCAGACACCAGAACATGTATATACCTAAAGCCTTTGATGTATGTCAAAGCAGTATGCTTACAGTGTTGAAGGAGGATGATGGGGGCTGTAGAGAGGCATGCTTTCCAATGGGATTGATCCAGTCCTCCTTGCTTCACTTCCACGTGAATGCTGGGCAGCCCAGGGTCACACCCATTGCACCCTCAACTCAGGCAAGCCCAGAAAGCAGCCAAACATAGGAGACGTGGGCTACAGAACAGTCTCCCAAGTCCCAGGCTCACAAAACCTGGGTGGCGATGAAAGCTGAGAAAGTGAGGAGGTGGTTCAGGGGATCGCTCTTCCCTACTTGTTCCTGTCATCTCAAATTCACCTTCTACTGCACAGCAACACGGAGGACCACCAACCACCCCTGACCATCACCTTGATCTTGCTGTGTTTGGTTAGTGGGATGCAACCACATCTCAACGGCGTTAGACCAACTCAGAAAAATATCTCTCAAACAGTATTCCATAAGGACTGCTCATGGCCTTGTTATTTTCAGTATATGGGAAAAAATAAATTGAAAACAACAAAATCATATCAGGTTTACAAGACTCCCCAAGATAGATGGTCACACATGCTTTCAGGGGATCTCTATAGAAATGATTTCAATGACTTGACACCTTGAAAAGAGCTTTTCTGGGACTAGAATGACATCCATAAGTGACAAGGGTGAGTGAGTTCTCACGAGGTCTGCTTGTTGGAAAGGGTAGCACCTCCCTCTTTGCTCTGTCTCTCTCTCCTGTTCTGGCCATGTGAAGATCATGCCTGCTTCCCCTTCGACTTCTGCAATGATAGTAAGTTTCCTGAGGCCTGCCCAGAAGCAGAGCCTGTACAGCCCACAGAACCATGAGCCGATTAAACCTCTTTTCTTTATAAATCAGTCTCAGTCTCACATATCAGTCCTAGGCATGTGTTTATAGCAGTGTGAGAATGGGCTAATACACAGGGGTTTCAATGTAGAGTGTGAGCTCTGTGGATCTAAAGACAGCGCCACCTATTACCCAACGTACAGCACCCAGCAGTATGCACACACACAAGGGGTTACTCAGTTAATGTGTAGAACCGTGTAGTCGCAGAGCTGGAGTGAACATTTTCAGTCATCCACCCCGTCTAATGCCTGAATGCCTCCCTGCTATGCTGTTCTTCTAAGTAGTTATCTACAGGTCATCTTTCAAACTCTAGTCCTTAGAGTTTCTAGAAAGTGTCAGGGGAAGTTAAGACATACACTGAGCAGAAACAGGTTCCACACCTAACCCCCCTTCAATCAANTTCAAGTAGCTGGGACTACAGGTGCCCACCACCATGCCAGGCTAATTTTTATATCTTCAGTAGAGATGGAGTTTTGCCATGTTGGCCAGGCTAGTCTCAAA